GCCTGGCTGGCCGGTCGCCGTTCGGGCGGGGCGCGCGCGCTAATCGCGGGATGCGGGCATCGAGGTCCCGGCCTTTCGGGATGCGCGCCGCCCCCGCTCCGATCCATACGCTCCGCACTCTTAACAACGTCCGTATTGTGCGCCCAGATAAGCCGTGTGAAATGAGCCGGTTTGTCCGGTAATGATTTTGATATACTGCGGACATTCGTTGCTTCCCTGAGTGGAGAAGCTCTTCAAAATGTCAGTTTGTGCCTATCAGCTTACTCGTGTTCGGTTCCATTCATTACACAGCGAGTCACCAATTAACGTGACTCTTGGTCTCATTGTCCACATCGAGACTCGAGTATCAACTTAATTGATGGCCCTAATAAAATATTTTTTTGTACGTTGATGAATCCTATTTGATTAATTAACGTTTGAGTTGTCGTACTTACAGAGCAATTCCGAATCCACATGTAAAACCGGCGTATAATACATCATTAGTTTTGAAAACTGCGATGCGTAGTTACGAGTATTCCTATAATCCTTATCACTTTTTGGTATACAATTTGAGCGCATTCTTCATTACGTAAAGTGAGTAGAGTTTAAAGTCTCCCGGAGTGCCGTAGATAACTGACAAGCGAAAGGAAAAGAACTCTATTGCATACTGCGCCAGCTGACTGGCTCCCGGCGTCGCGCCGATCCATATCGAAATGTAACAACTGTGTGTGGCCTTCCCTCGGGGCGAGTACTGTCTCTTTGATCTGCGCCGTCGCCTGGGGCAGCTTCCACAGGCTCAGCTGCAGCCTCCGCGGACCACGACGGGCGTTCTTCACCGCTGCCTCGGCTCTCTGACCCTTCCCTCCGTCGACTCCATCACCTTAATGTCTCCTCAGCTTCCATTACGGCCCCACCCTTGCCTCTCGTCGAGCTCCTTCGCCACCTCCAGCGGGGGCTGCGCAACCCAGCTGCGGCGGCGGTCACCGAACCAGTTGCGGCCGCGGGCAACGGCTGTGATGGCGGCAGCGGCCGCGCCGGCCGGCGCTC